GAGGGGGAATATTTCCCCCTTAACTTAAGGTATAGGAGGAAATACGGAATTGCGGCACAAATCTTAACGGCTCGGCCTATGCTCTTAATAATCAGTGTACAGTGTGATGGGCAGGAAACCCATCACCAGTGCGAAATTGGAGGTCACAGGTCAAAGGAAAGTGGGGAAAGGTCAGATATCAGACATTTTCTGAGGACATGGCAGTCTGATGGACATTTTTACAGAGTGAAAAACTTTTTTGTTTCAGTGCTGACCTACCATTTTTATCACTTTATTGAAAGGACCATGAAATGTGCTTTCCACTGACGTGCGAAGAGTAAGTGTCTGATAACCATTTGACCCTCAAGAGGAGGGTTAAACATGGATTCCTGAACTGCTTCAATGACGTCACAGTGTTGTCATATTCATGGGACATACATAATATAGAATCCCAATAAGCCTGGATAGCCGAACGCGTACAGCACAGGCGTCACGGCTCAAAGGTCGTTGCATCGAATCCCATCTGATTTTTTATTATTTACCTGTTTTCTGTATTTTTATCCATTTAACTATTTTTTTCCAATTAATGCAAATATTTACATTATTTATTGACAACAGTTTAATAACAACAAATAATTGTTAGAACAATTAATTTTTTATTTTTATTTTTAATAGGGTTAGGGTTAGGGTCACAATGCACCATAAAACAGGAGTTTCAGGCACGCGATTTGTATCAACCAATGGGATTTGGGAGGTATGCAGAATGCAGAAGATTGCTGAAATGATGTGTACGCAACTGCGTATCTGCATATCTGCCCCTAACAAAGGTGTCACTATGCACGACTTAAATGTTACGTTTATAACCGTAGCAACAGACCTCAGATGAGCCCAGACGCTCTGCGGCTCATGTATACATGAACCACCAAGTATTATTACTTCTTTTGCAGGTACATTGAGGCATATCGCAACTTTGAGACATCGAACGATCGCATGCGTGCTCACGATCTAATAGATTACACTCAGCTGGGCATGCGATACAAGTTCTGCGCCTGGGAGGTATGTACAGTTAGCAGCTTCTTAGCTCTTGCATAGATAGCTATGAAAACTGTACTGTTTGTGTATATATATATAACATACCATATATATATCATGTATATATATATATACCCTTACAAAAATTTAAGCAATCCACAAGCGATCGCACACATCGATTGCTTGTCGATTGCTTAATAAGCAATCGACAAGCAATCGAGACTGATCCTAAGCAATCGACAAGCAATCGAGACTGATCCTAAGCAATCGAGACTGATCTTAAGCAATCGACACTGATCATAAGCAATCGAGACTGATCATAAGCAATCGAGACTGATCATAAGCAATCGACAAGCAATCGAGACTGATCC